TATATACTTATTTGACTGAATTGATACTAAATTAAGGCCAATTTTAGGCTGATTTATGGTTATTTAAATTCTGAATTGATGCTGAATGATGCTGAATTGAGATTAATTTTAGGCTGATTTATGGTTATTTAAGTTTCGCATTGATGCTGAATAATACTAAATTGAGGTCAATTTTAAGCTGATTTATGTTATTTAAGTTTCGAATGCCGAATGATGCTGAATTAAGGTTAATTTTAGGCTGAATAGCCATGTTAATCAGTGTCAATCAGCGTCTGAATTATTGCCAAATTGAGACCAGTTTTAGGCTGATTTATGGTTGAATTTAAGTTTCGAATGGTCATGTCTGATTGGAATCGATTAGCATCTATTAGCACCTGTTTGTGCTGATTGGAAAATATGGTAAATCGGCCATAAATAATATTAAAATTGGTCTATCTGATTTTTAGCCGATTTGGACTATTTCGACTAATGACTTCGAAGCTTCTTTATTCACTCAATATTCTCTGAAGAAACTTGTTCTAAAACTTGCTTTAAAATATTTTCAAAGTTCTTCACCTCCTTTTCGAGATTGCCTGTTCATTTACCTTCTTCTACTCGTATAAATAATGCCGTAGAGATTCTGATAATATTAAAAGGCTCTCTCATTAAAAGAAATTCTTTCATATTTTAATAAAGTGAAAGTTAAAAGTTAGTGAAAGCTTTGCTAAGTGAAGTAAAAAATAACATAAAGGCATAATAATTTTACTATACTGTCTTTTAAATGACTCTATTTACTTCTTTCTAGGCTTACAATCATATTAGGAAAGAAACAGAAGAATATGCAAAGCACTTTATGCCTATGTTTATGATTAAGGACATGTGAAATGTGCATTGAAGATCTCAATATTACATTATATATACTTTAATGAGGATCGAAAACATGTTAATTTATATCATATACATTTACATGCATTGGCCTTGAAACACTTCGCATGGCTGAATAATATAATATTCAGGATTTTCCTCAAAAATACTTTATTAAAATTGTTAAACAGTATGTTGGAGAATCTAATCTTGCAAATTATGCATAGCACCTTTGGCTAATTTCACTAAGTGATCATCTATCATGTAGTGAAAAAAATAAATTATATTAATTAAACCATTTAAACTATTATGATTTTTGTTTTATCTTTTAATCTTAACATAATACCTTTTGGTTGATTAAGATGGTTTAAGTTATTTTGTTTTGCGTATATAGATGAAATAAATATTTTGCTTATATTGCTTCAGTAATTTGATGAGAAGTTAGTGAAATATTTTCTTGCTTGACAGGTGAAATACAAGCTAGCTCAAAATTTGAAGCACTTGGCATAGTATTTTTTGCTATAGTTGCTTTAGATTATGCATAATTTTTATAGCTAACCGTAAAATTTTCATCATGATCATAAGATACTAATACCAACTTATCCTTTTCTGAGTGTGAGTTAGATTGGGAGAAAAGCTCTAGATGAAGGCGATTAATTTTAGCCTCTTCTTGTAATATAAATTGTTTATATTGCCAGATATGAAATTCCCTTCTATCAATAGATTTAAGAATTTCTTCTCTTTTTACATGTTCATTCAAAATAATATTTTCAGAAATACATCTCTTCAAGTGGCTATCTTAATAGTAATTAGCTTTACTAAAACCATTTTCAGGTATGAAAACTAAGGAGTCACATACATTACAATATATGTAATTTGATGGACTTTATCATGTTCATATAAATTTCCATACATTGTAATATATCCATTCTTAAAAAGAATTCTTGGATTCTCTTCAAGTATTTTTTTAAATAGATTACGAATATAGGAGCACCACATTTCTGGTATTTTATAGATACTATTGGGATTTTATTTATGATAAGCCTCCCAACATTCAATTCTCCATACTCATATATTTCATGACCAAATTTTTAAAAAACCATTCCCTCAGGGAACGATCAGTCATGTGATTTTTTCTTGCACTTTTCACTGCTTAATATATGTGTGAGAAGACGGGATTCCAATTGTTACAAGACGTCAGATACTAGAAAATTTAATATTTTGGAATTATAATTTATAATAATACAATTTATATTTGTCTATTTACAAAACGATCTTGGATTTTTTTTTCCTATAAAAAAAATGCTAAACTTCACAGTTCTCTTACATGTGCGTTAAACTTCATTATAAAAATAGCAAAAATATAATCTAATTCTTACCATCTAATTTAGTGTTTACTTCAATAATTAACCTACCAAATGAATTCAGAAAGGAATGATGTGTCACTATTGGTATTATTAAAACTCTACTTCAACTTTCTCTTTCTTACCGGATTTTTTTTCCTTGGGTCTTGAAATAATCAGAAAAAAATTTAATCAGACGTGATAGTGAAGAAATGGAGCATGATGGTGAAAAAAATTGGCCAACTTGCATCAATTCATTTATCAAGTTATCTCCTAGCTTAATATTGCTATGAATATTTAGGACTTGCAGGTTATCCTTTATTATAATCTGTGAAAATGAAACATAATGAATAGGAAGCTAACGAGAAATGGAACCATAATTACAAGAATAAAATTTTTTCTTACCTTATGCTGATAAATTGATACAAGAAGCTTGAGAAAGGATATTACCCCCATTTCTGAAAACTTGCTATCTACAGGGGGGTGAAATAAATATTGAATAATTTTTTTGCGAAGATTTATTACATCAATTTTATATGAAAATTTATTAA